ACGTTATTTCGGGACCTTCTAGTCTTAAAGTTACCTCTATGGTACTAGCATAGAGGTAACTCTAAGACCAGAAGGTCCCGAAGAAACGAGCTCAACTTTTTGGCTCAGCTCTGGTACTATCTTCGGTCCCAAGCTAATCGATGCACCCCTCGAAATATAGAAAAAAAAATCCACGAACCCCTCATTTTATCTGTCAAACTTTCATAGCGAATCAAAATAAACATAGTGTAGTACTGGAATTTATACTAGAATTGAGTACGTTTGTCGATTTGCTTGGGACCAATAGGCTAGTCAAGTAGTGAGCCAATTTAAAATCGTTAGTTTCGAATTGATTGTTGGTACGAGGCTTTCTCATGCAGAGTGTTGCACAACGGAGCTTTGTCTGACCCGATTCGGGTAATAGCGGGTGTGAGGCAAGGATGTATATTATCACCGCTACTGTTCCTCATCGTAATCGACGAGATCTTGGTTGGAGCCGTTGACCGTGTACCGAACCTCGGGTTTCTGTGGCAGCTTATTACCAGCCGGTGGAAACTTACGATTGGCTCAATACTTGACTAGCCTATTGGTCCCAAGCAAATCGATCAACATACCCCATTCTAGTCGAAATTCTAGTACTACACTATGTTTGTTTGATTAGCTATGAAAGTTTGACAGATAAAATGAGGGGTTAGTGGATTTTCCTATGTTTCGAGGGGTGAATCGATTAGCTTGGGACCGAAGAGAGTACCAGAGCTGAGCCAAAAAGTTGAGCACGTTTATTCGGGGCCTACTAGTCTTAGAGTTACCTCTATGCTATTACTATGGAGCATCTCAACGACTTCGATTTGGCTGATGACTGATGATGAACAGCGCTCAGACATGCAGAGTAAGCTCGACGACCTTGTGGAACGCTCCTCTGAAGCAGGTCTAACCATCAACGTCAACAAGACCAAATCGTTGGATGTCAACACGGAAAACCGTTCCAATTTCACGGTAGCTTTTTTTTTTAAATTCTTTATTAAAGAGATTTTTAGCCTTAGGCTAGTTCATCTCTAATTTCACGGTAGCTGGGCAGGCAGTGGAGAAAGTCGAAAGCTTCCAAAATCTTGGCAGCCAGATAGCGTCGGACGACGGCACCAAGAGCGACATAGGTGCACGGATTAAGAAGGCGAGGGCTGCTTTTGCCAGTTTGCGAAATGTATGGAGAGCGAATCAGACCAGTCGACGCACCAAAATCCGAATTTTTAACTCGAACGTGAAGTCTGTGCTGTTATACGCCAGTGAAACATGGTGTGTATCAGCGGAGAACACTCAGAAGCTGCAGGTGTTTATCAACCGATGCCTGCGGTACATAATTCGTGCCTGGTGGCCCCACAATTGGATCTCAAATTCCGAGCTTCATCGTTTGTGCCATCAGAAGCCGATTGAGACAGAAATTCGTGAAAGGAAGTGGAGGCCACACACTACGACGGAGCGGAAACGAAATCTGCAAGCAAGCACTGGACAAAGTAAGTAAGTAAGTCGGAAAGGAATCTATTATACGCCAGTGAAACATGGTGTGTATCAGCGGAGAACACTCAGAAGCTGCAGGTGTTTATCAACCGATGCCTGCGGTACATAATTCGTGCCTGGTGGCCCCACAATTGGATCTCAAATTCCGAGCTTCATCGTTTGTGCCATCAGAAGCCGATTGAGACAGAAATTCGTGAAAGGAAGTGGAGGCCACACACTACGACGGAGCGGAAACGAAATCTGCAAGCAAGCACTGGACAAAGTAAGTAAGTAAGTCGGAAAGGAATCTACCCGATATCGCCGCACCTCCACGGTGGTTAGTGTCCAGTTCGTTGTCCTCACAACGGTCATCATGGCTGGCTACGAGTCCCTGCTATAGTGCTGAATGTTCAGCACACTGCACTGAGAAGCATTGGGCGCTCTTTGCACCCACACAATGACCATAAAAATTTTATTATGGGAGATATCCACTAGCCCTGAAGTGCACCCCACACGACAGAAGTTTTGTCAATGTTTCCATCAATAATTTCATGTCAATATTTTCTACAATATTTTCTGGGGTTCATCAATACAGGGTCGCTCCTCACTAACATTTATGTATCCGATGGAATATTGCGAGTCTAATCACAACCACCTTGACAAAAGTTGCCAAGAAACAGGCACCATCTGCTGCTGTAGTCAAACAGAAGGAGAAAATGAGGGGAAATATTGAAATATGAAATCAAACTTTTCTAATTTTACGTCAATATGTTCATCAATATTTCCGTCGTCAATATTTGTATCAATATGATTGTCAATACTTTTGAGTATTGACAATATTTTTGCCCAGTGTTCACTCGGCTGTCGACAAAAGCAGGCCACTCTCGATGTGTGCTACGCGATCGTCTGTTTACTCGGCAGCAACCATTGTGTGGTCCTCCTCATTGTTCTTCATCAGCAGTTCTTTCGGTCGATGCGTCGTCGACTTTGGAAAGCAACCGTTTCGTGATGAGTGTGTGAGTGCTGACCACGTTTTGCGTCCATTGCTGCAATGGACGCGCTCTGACCCTCGTTGGCGTACAACAATTTGCCATACAATGAAACTACTGGAAGCGGCTCCAGTTCTGATGGAGGAGGCTTTTTGGATAGCGGAAGATAAAGTGTTTATTGTGTTGTACCTTTTGACTATAGCTTTAAGATGTATTGTATAGTGACCATGAATCCTCGGCTCTGTTAAGTTAATTCGGTTGAGCCTTATCAAATAAATAAATATACCAACCAATATTTTTGCCCGTGTGGTGCTTGCTTGAGTCTATCAAATTTGGCGATCGCGATGGCGTGATTTATCTTGTCGAAGGCAGCAGACAAGTCAGTGTAGATGACGTCTGTTTGTGACCTTTCAACGCGTGATGTACGATGTTAGCCACAGTAGATTGGTGGTATAGATCGACCGGAGGTGAAGCCATGTTGATTTTCGCTTAGAAACTGCTTACAATGGGAGAGCAGAGGCTGAATGATGACTAACTACCGTCCCGTTTACTACCCTTTTTATATAACACTAGGGATTCAATATTAGCTTGAGTTTATGCGCCGATTTAAAAAAAAGCATGCTATATTGTACGTAGCCCCCCCCCCCCCTTATTATCTAAAGGGCTACCCCCTATGATTATCTCCTTATACCCCCACACTCGCCCCCACATGCCTAATTTGGTTCCATTTGCTTGATTAGTTCTCGAGTTATGCAGAAATTTCTGTTTCATTTGTATGGGAGCCCCCCCTTACAGAAGGGGGAGGGGTCTCAAACCATCATAAGAACCTTCCACGGCCCCAAAAACCTCTGTATACGAATTTTTACGCCAATCGGTTCAGTAGTTTCCGAGTCTATAAGGGTCAGACAGACAGACAGACAGACAGACAGAAATTCATTTTTATATATATAGATAGATAGATAGATAGATAGATATGCGCAAATTTCCAGTTTGATGGAAAAATGCCACACGAGGTGGACAACCGGAACAGATGTTTTAGCAGTTACTCTTATACATCGATTGTCCCATTCCATATCAGATTATATTTTTTGAAAATATTTTAATTTTTTAAAAAAATTGGAAAAAGATCCAATCACAAAAAAAGCAGCCAGGTCTCAGGACTATGTCTATAAAAAAAGATTCTCCGTTCGGCGCATATTGAACTATTAAGGACTTTTTTAATGCTTGTCGGGTGTTTTCATCACTGCGGCCATTTTTCTGATCTATTGGGATATATTACCCTTTTTTTTTTTTGCTATATCAAGATGTCGTATTACTATTATTAGGAGTGATTATCTCAGCAAGGCATTACACTTCGAATAAAGTGCACTGCCGTACTGGGAGTTGTTCTCCAAATGTCAAAAGGTTCTACCAGCCCCTTTACGCCTTTTATTGATAATTGCCGGACAGTGGCATAGCAAATGTTCCTTAGAAAGGTCCAGGATTTTGTGCGTCACAGAAATGCTTGGATTAATGAAGCGCTTCGACTGCCTAGCAATAGAAGTGTTATTCCAGTTTTCCTCCACTTTTGAAATTCCCACGCTTTTAGCTCCATTCTAAGAAATGCAGCCGATAAGCCACAAAAGGGCTCTGTCCCTATGAACTTATGAGTAGATCCGAGTCTTACTACAGCTCTTTAATTTCCGTCAATCCCGCTATGACCAGAAATCCAATATAAGTTGACTTGATTATGATAAGACAATTTTTGAAGTGATTGAACAAACTCCCAGACAAGTGTTGATGTACATGTCACCGATTTAAAAGCATTTAGAGCAGCTTGACTGTCAGACATTATGCAAATATTTGAACTCTTATAGTTTCTACACTCTAAAATTTCTTGGATTTCAGCTTGAAACACAGTTGGCAATCTGCCCATAGAAACCGATAATCCTGGGCCAGTTACTCCTGGCCCCACTTGGTTGTTCAATCTTGAACCATCTGTATAAATAACAATCGATCCTGGACGAAGAATCGGACCACCAAATTAAGGACTTTAGTTGATCATGTAATTATTGAAGAGGGATCTATTAATTCTGAGCCGTGACCACTCCGAAGAAACAAATCTTGTTTTATAATAGTCTTGATGTGATCTTCAATAAGGCTATAACACTATAATAACGCATGGCAAACGAGTTCCCTAACTTGCATTCAAGTATTCTCTCTTCCACCCTCAATTGCAAAACTCACAATCTTTTCTCATTTCCACGTTCCCTGTATCATATGTTTCCACCCCCCTTAATAATCACCCGCGTTCTCTTTTTGCATGAAACATCAGAAGCGCCAGAATGTATTCTATCCAGTGCGAGAGAGTCGCAAACGACGCGCGAGCGTACGAAGAGAGTGCAAGCAAAGCGTCGAACCTGTTGTCAGCCAAGCCAAACTAACAGAACAGACATTCAGGCGCTTGACTGCTTCTGCTCCATTCAACATTATTTTCCATTCATTCGAACTTTGGCTGCTGAGCGCAAACGACCGCTCGGGAACACGGAGAACGGATCCAGAATATCAGTGTCGGGGGTTGTTTTTTTTTCGGAAAAAGTGAGAGGGCGGAATACCACCACCCAATCAAACTGCCAGCCAGTAGCCCCACGAATTAGTATTTATCGTACCCCAACAGTAGCATCGGCAGCAATAGCAGCAGTGAGTGCAAACAGCAACGAGATACGGGGGTGGTGTTATTCATGTGATTATCCGGAAGAATTACTAACTAGCAATCGTCACGCAGCAGCCATAATCAAGGACAATAGCATCGATTTTCCGCATTCGTGGTTCGCTAAATTGGCCGGATCTAGACAAACAAAGTCATTGAAGAATAAGCACAGAAAAGAACATCCAATCGCGTAGCAAACATCAGGAGAAAAGTAGTGTGCTGTGCGTGTTATATAATTCTAGGGGTTGACACCTACGAGCGCAAAACGAAAAAAAAAAAGAAGGATCGGCTGCTCGATGCTATCCCATGTGTAATTAGCTCCTTCCCAAGGGGATTCGCCTTTTTCGCGTGGGTGGTGGTGTTCGTTCTGTTATTCAAGAGGTGGAAAAATCATCAATGAAGAGAAACATTATGAGCCGTCGTGATTGAGTGCCTCAGCGAAAGTTTTCAATTCGGCTAAAGGCGGTAAATGGAAGAGTTTGGATTGATATCTACCTATACTATTCTTTGTATACATGGCGTGGATGGAAGGAATGCGAAAATAAGCCCATTGATTTATGTTTTATCGCATTCTGCTTTGAAAGCTGTTTTCAATTTCTATTTATGTCACCCTCGCATCAAACATTTTCATTTCATTTGTCATTAGTTGCTTCGTTTTTTTTTTTGGTTCAAGTATTGATTTTCAACCATTCCTGGTCAAAAAGCAATCAGAGTGTTGTAATGGCAAGGAGATGAGCTAACTGAGGAAGGAAAATAAGAGCATCTTAATTCGTTGTCCAATGCCATCATCTAGTAATAGTAGGCGCACGACAGTAAAAGGGAACACTGGAAAATTAGGGCAACCGTAAACAGCCTACTTAGCGAGCACGCCAGGAGTATCTAGGATTATGTCTCAGAGGCTTTTGTTGTAGAGGCAAATGCCCGTCTGCTGGGTTCACGTCCTGCCGGATGTTGACACCGAGATTAATTGAATGGCTTTTAAATCCTGTCTCATGCAGCCAGCGAGTGGCTTTCTTGCGTAATTTTGCCCATTTGCGATCCGTGGATGGTTTGCCAATGGTGTGTTGTTGTACCCCGTGGAGAGAGGATATCGAATTGCAAATATGTATATCCGCTTTGATTTGATTGAGTCATCTCGAGTCGGCTGTTGCCACTCCGGATGGGTTCGTTGATCCTGAAGATGCCGATAGAGCGGGTGGAGTGAGTTGCAGTAAACAACAACTGCCGTGTATAAGAAGCGAAATTGATGTCGATATGTATTTATGGGGTCGGCTTTATTCGATTTAGGGCAGGAAATGGCATCAATTTGCACTGTTGCATATTTTCTTTCATCGAGGAGATCTGTGTTTTTACGTTCAGAAGAATACAAGTAACCACGCGTCTCCTTTGCGCTTCCGTTTCTTGATACCGCATACATATATTAGTTTGTTTGAATGTGAGATTTGTATCTTCGTTCTACATCATATTGTGAAGCCGGTTTTATTGTAATTAGTAGGTATATGCTTGTAGTTATACTATAGACAGTATCAGTGCGTAAATCTGAATCCTAAAATGGTAGAAAAATCTCATGCTAGCCACTAGTGAATTAATCTGCGTTAGCATCGCACTCCACCTTCTTGCAGAAAATCTTCACCAACGCACAGCTCATGCCACGAATTTGATTCTGGCAGTCGGACAATAGATTCAGCTGTTGAGTTGAGTCCTCGGCCTAAGGTCGCTGGCATCTTGGAGGCTGTCCATATTCCACGTGGTCAGTTTATGAGTCAGTTATGGTTTTAGTCCTGCGTAGACAATAGACTGATCTAAAATTGGAAAATTTCGCTCCATAGTGCTCAAACCCTTCCAAATCGGGTCCTGATCAGCTTCCCATAATTTTAACTCATTTGGTAAGAAACTAACTTGGCACAAACCATTTGATGTTTATATGGCAATTATTAAGGGAAAACATTTTTTTTTTTGCCAGGGCTTAATATCTTAGTTTCTTTATCAAAAATGAGATCGTAGAAATTTGACAAAACGTTTAAAACTGAAATATTTCTATTAGTCAGGAATATATAACGCCTCAATGTAGGCAATTAATATCAGTTGTTCACACTAAATCGTAATTTTAACGTAATCTGATATCGAACAGCACCAGAACAAATGTTGATTATGATCAGAATTTGAGGAGCAGTTAAAATATGCATATTTTCTCACTTCCACAAAATTTTAAATTTAGAGCAATAAAAAGCATCGTTAGGGAAAACGTTTTCAAAGCACTATTTAAAACTACTTATTTTTTTTTAATAACAGTAGGGTAAGTGAGTCAGTTTTTGGCCCTAGTGGTCCTCTAATTTGCCCCTGGGAGGGAGAAGCAGATAGCACAAACGGAATTTATTTTTCAGCTTGTTCTTCTGGTCATGAAAATTAGAGAATCTTAGAGCGAACGTTAGTGTTTTAGGGACCGTGTTTCAGGGCTTTTCTTATTGTGGAGAATGTCAAGGTTATTCCGAGGAAAACTAAAAGAAAATTAAATTCGGAGGATACTTTCAACGAAAATTTGAGGAATATTAAGTTCCCAAAATTTTTCCTGATGTTAATGAAGCTGTCTTGAAGGTCTTTTGTAGTTTGAGGAACTAGTCTGATGCTTGCAATACTTCTCATCAAATTCTTAAACTTCCCTGAGCTTCATTGGAATTCCTAAAGTTTCTAACGATTATGAATCTCCTCTAAAGGTTTAACAATTCACTGAAGTTCTCTAAACTTCTTTAACATTTATGTGACTTCTCTACTGCTATCGGAACTGCTCTGAGGTTCACTATTCTTTTCTGAAATTATGCAGTTTTTATGAAGCTTGTTGTACTGCGCTGAATTTAATTGAACCGTCCTAAAAATGTTTAAGCTTCAGTCAAATTCTTTAAATTTCCCACTAATTTTCTAAAACTGAAATTCCTCCAATTTTAGGAGCTTACTAAACTTCTTTCAAATGGTCCAGCATTTTTCTTATGTTCATAAAAATTCCTGAAGTTCGTGGATTTCTATGAAGTCCTCGAAATGTTTCTGAAGCCCACTGTCTTTCTGTGAAGTTCCCGAAGTTTTTATAAATTTCTAATGAAATTTATAAAAACTTCATGAAATTAGAACGAATATAGTTCTTTGATTTTCACTGAAGTTCTCAAGATTTTTGTGAAGTTCATGAAAGTTCCCATTAATTTAAAACTTCTTCAATAGCCTAGACTTTCCTGGTGTTATTGAAACTGTCTAACTGATTACTGAATTTCTTCTCCAGACTGCCCTGAATTTATCAGTATTTTTTTGAGAACCCGCAACTTTACTGAAATTAATTGATTTGCCTTGAAGTTGCGACAATTTTCCCTAAGTATTATAACCATTATAAACGCTCACTACTTTCCCTGAACTTATCTATGCTTACCTGAAGTTCATAATTCCCTGACGCTTCAGACGTTTTCGGATTAATCATAGAATTCTGGAAATACGTCACAATTCCACGCAACTCCTCGTAAGTCACTGCAAATTTTCTTAACTTAATGGAATTATTCTGAAGCTATCTGATCGTCCTCGAAGTACTCGGAACTTCGCTGAATATCATGAAACTATCTAAAAATATCTAAATTTATTAGAAGTCCTCTAGAATTGCTTGAAGTTTGCTAAAAGTTCTCGCATTTGTGTTTAATTAATGGAACTTCGTTGATGTTCTCTTATCAACATAACTAAATTTTCGCATTTTCTTAAGTGCTTGAAATCTCCATGATATAACATCCTTAAAATAATCTCACATTTTCCGGATGTTCATATAACTTTTATCACGTTCCAGAAATTCTCTCGGAGCTTGCTGAAGATACCGGAAATGCCCTGAGCTTCCCGAAACTTCTTTAAGGTTTCTATAATTTCCTTGAAATTATTTGAACTGCTTTTTGATTCTCTTGATGGCCTCGGAACTTTCCTAAAACTCTCAATTCTATTGAAGATCTAGGTTCTGCTCGGAAATAAATGGAATTCCCGTAAACACATTCTCTCACATTCTCTGGACTTCAGTGAAGTTCCTGAAATATTTTTGAAGTTTTCATAAATTCTCTGAAGGTTTCTGTACTTCCCAGAAATTCTCGGAACATCTTAAGACTTCTCGATTTTTTTTCAGCACATCATGGAAGTACCCTGAATTTTTCAATATTTACTATAATAGATCTTTAAACTGCTCCAAAAGACTGGACTAAAGTTACGGGAAATGCTCTTAAAATCTGAAATTCCCCAAAGATCTCTAGATCTAGCTTTTCTGAAGGGCTTAGAACTTCTTAAAAATTTGCACAACGCCCCTCAAGTTTTCTATATTTCTCAAGTTCGCTTGACACCTGTGAAGTTCTCTGAAATTCTACGAACTTCATAAAAGTTCCTGAAAATTTTCGGATGCTAAAATAATCGCTTTGAGGGTCTTAGTGCTTCCAGTAAGTTCTCCATATTTTCAGCGTGTTAACTTTCCCTTATGTTCCCGCCAGTGTTTGCTTTTATCATTTACCATCACGCGCAAGGAATAGCACTTCAACCCAGTGTAGATGAATTGCGTTCGTTTTGAATATCTTCGCTGTGAAGTACGAGCAAAACGAACAAATGAGCTCATTATACATCAACGAATGCGCGTTTCACAAATACTTGATTATCCAACCCAAAATTGTCAAAATCAGAAGCGATCCTCAAAAGCAAAATAATCAAATCCGGTTTGGGCAAAATGATTATTTTGAATATTGTCGATTCCAGAGCCTAAAACCTCGATATTATCATCAATTCAATCTGTGTATAAAAACCAACTCAACACGTTCTACAGCGCTGTATTTGTGTATTTATGAAAATAATCATTTTGCATTCGATCCTCAAAATCATCCCCTCCAAGATGCAGATGAATATTGACATTCACAACAACACAGGCGATAATAAACTTCCAGCCACGAATGAACAAAAACAAATGTTGACTTCGATTGACGAGTGCACGGATGGATTTGAGTTCACTCACTCGACAAAAAGTGACACAACAGCGGGGCCCTGTTTACTAAAAATGAACACATATGTGTTCATTTTTAGTAAACAGGGCCCGCTGTTGTGTCACTTTTTGTCGAGTGAGTGAACTCAAATTCATCCGTGCACTCGTCAATACTCAAAGGTTGCCTTGATCAAGAGAATGTGCTTATGCCAAAATACAAATTCATGCAGGTAGTTGGTCTATCTGTTAAGGTTGTCTTCATTTTTAGCTAAGTTGAGTGTAGAAGGAATGATTTTCATCAGCACTGGTTCCCGCAGTTTGTTTATGGAACTTCACTGAAATTCTCAGCATTCCCTTTCATTCCTCAGAACTTCTCCAAAGTTCCTACAATTGTTGTGAACTTAATGGACAGCAATGAAGATCTCTAATCGTATGAAATAAATCATTTATTTTACTAAAAAGTGACTCGCTACCAGGCCTGGTGTTTACCTCTGCGTCCCCACAAAGGTCGCAGAAGGGATATTGATAATGTTGTTTTGATATAATGTATTGATTTCTGAAATTAACGCGAATAAGACTTACGATCTTTGGAATGGCTGGAAGGCAAATGAGTTGACCCTATCAATTCAGTAAAAAGCTACGAAGGACGATATGTCCAGCCCAGATAAAAAGCTATTCAAATAAAATGACGCCCCCGAAAGCAGTTAGCAATGTTATTCAAACCGCATCAAGCATACGTCAAATTGTAATATACTTAGGTTGTGTTCCATTTAGTAAATTTTCACTTAAATTTGACCGATGGAAAATGTTCAAATATACCTGCTATTCCAGCAAACTTATTTATGACACAAGGAATCAATTTTGACATACACCTTCTCGAAAATCGACCGATCAACAACAGAGGGATTTTCGAACAATTTATTTTCGAAGTGTCAAATTTAAGTGAATATTTACCAAATGGAACACAGCCAGTTAGGTCTGTGCCACAAATGGGAAAGAACACAGCCTTATTCCGTACCCGTTACGCCCGAGTTCTATCTGTTCCGATTTTCTACAATAACTGCCTGGTTTAGATCTTAACGCCCAGACTCAAGCATCCCCCCTATTCTGCGAGTCACGTGACTCTCTCTCACCGGCGAGGTGACAATTGTCACCTCATCGGTGACAGAGAGTCACGTGACTCGCAGAATAAGGGGGCATGTGTTTGAAAATCCTTCCCTACCTAAGTATATGGCAAAAAAAGATTAAACTGGAACGGATGCCACTTGCCCGTAAACTTCACGTGGAATCCATTTCGCGAGAAATCGTTGATGAACTGGAAACTTTTCTCAAATCAATGCTTTCCATTTCCGGTACCGCCATTGAACGAGTTGAACATGAAAAAGACTTGCCAGTTGTTGGGTTCTTCTGCCACTCTCCGGATGGCATCCATGTTTCCGTTGGTCGGCTGCTTCCCAATGTGAAAGGGTTTTTAGGGCGAAATTGTCCACAGATGAGATTGTCGGGATAGAAGAGGTCTCGGAAAAGTCCCGGCTTAACCCGATCCATGAAATTAAGAACATCTTTTTTTGAAGTGCTCTCTTCATTATGACTTCGATGTCCGGATGTTATGTTCACTTGAACTTTTCCCTAAATTTTATCATTTGTTTTTGAAACCCTCACCTCATCAGCTTACAATAGCGTGTTTCATTTTCCTCTTGCACCACCTGCACACACACACAAATTTTTACATATCTTTACTTAGCACCAACAGTAAGCACCGTCTTTTGGCCACATTAAAGCACAACTTATCAAGTGATACGCACACAATCACTTATTCACGTTTGCACTGAGCACTTTCCAAGCAACACACGCGACTCTGTGATTCTAAACGATGAGCACCAGCACCATTGCACAGCACCGTTCGTACTCCCGTTAGCACCAACCATTACCACCTAGAAAACGCCCGTGTTCAGCACCGAATTGAAAGAGAACCAACCTGCCATCTGCCTGCGAAGTTCTGTACCCGGTTACTCTCGTGCACGTTCCGTTCGTTTTTCTGTTGTGCTGCAAGAGTGTGTGCACGCGTGCACGTGCAATTAGTAAGGATTTGCAAGTAGTGTAAGGTAGTAGCGCGGAATCGCACAGACATAAACCAGTCGAGTAGAGGGACTTGGAGTTGGTGCGAATAATGGCCAACACGGCGCATCTTTTTCGCAGACAGAGCTCACGGGATTTGATCCAGCAGGCGACGGTTCGCAGTTTGGATGAGCTCGAGTTGAGGGTGAGTAGGCGGTGATTTTAGTTTATTATTTTGATTAATCTAGAAGAGCAAGATGCCACTGCCGACGTTCGTCCAAGAGGACCAATGGCATCGGGAACGTGTCGAAGCTGCTCGTAAATCTCGGATAGGCTACGCAGGAAATTGGGCTGAGATCGTTGCATTGCAGGAGGCCACACGGAGTAAGATTTCCGAGTTCTATCGAACGACGGGTTACGCGAGACGCCCGGTTGACAATTTGAGGAAGCTTGCCGAAATGAATTACGATACGAATTGGCCAGCGTTCCCAGAGACGTCGAACCGAGCTGTTGGACGTTTCGCCAGGCGTCCTCTGGAGAAAGCGGAAGTGGTTCATCCTAGACCTAGTTACTTTAGTTCGTTTCCTGTGACCCACACGAAATAAATTGTTGATTGCACCAATCAAAATCGTTGGTTGTTTTACTTCAGGAACTTCGAAGTCGCTTGGTTCGGGCGGAGAATGGCAATCGAAATGTGGTGTACGGTGCAACCAATCAGGCATTTATCTCCGACGATGATCCCCCGATGGGAAGGATCTTGGACTTGGGTCCAAGTTCCGCACCGCCCACGATCCGGGGGCCACCGGGAAAACTCCCAACGCAGACTTCCGTTATCGACAGCGCGGTGGAGGAAGCGGTTGTACCGGAACGACCCGAAGACGAACGCGAAAGTTGGGATAGCAAGTGGACTTTTCTGTTGGCCACGATTGGGTAAGGACATATTTTACCATTGGTGAATCGGAGTTATTTGATCGTTTTTCTATCTTACAGGTACGCCGTTGGATTGGGCAACGTTTGGCGATTTCCCTATTTAGCGCAGAAGAATGGCGGAGGAGCGTTTCTGGTTCCGTATTTTGTGATGTTACTGCTTCAAGGCGTTCCGATTTTCTACCTGGAGTTGGCGATCGGTCAACGTCTGCGGAAGGGAGCGATCGGGGTTTGGCACGAGGTGTCGGCCTATCTGGGAGGAATTGGAATATCGTCGGCGTTCGTGAGCTACATAGTAGCTTTGTATTACAACACGATCATTGCTTGGTGCTTGATCTACCTGTTACACAGCTTCGAGTCCCCACTGCCTTGGGCGGAATGTCCCAAGAGGCTGTACAAGAACTTCACCTACGACGTGGAACCGGAGTGTGTCGTTTCTTCGCCGACAAAGTACTACTGGTACCGGGAAACGTTGAGGGCTTCGCCCAGTGTCAACGAACCGCAGGAGATCAACTACAATGTGGCGATCGCACTGATTACTGCCTGGTTCTTGGTGTACATGTGCATGGTCCAAGGAATCACCGAATCGAGTAAGATCGTGTACGTTACCGCGATCTTCCCGTACGTGGTGCTGATTATTTTCTTCTTCCGGGGCATCACCCTCAAAGGTATGTATGGTTTAGTGACAAAATAGGTCATATTTTCAGAACTCGTTTTTGAAGTCCCGGAATTAGGATTATTTTTTCAAAACCCGAAATCTCGTGAGTTTTTCAAAGTCTTGGAATTTTTAAATGTTTTTAAATAGCAGAATCATGAAGTGTGTATTTTTTAAACCCACTAGAGCAAACACCAAATTTGGACTGAATGGGTCAGGGAATTAGGCCAAGCTTTGTAAAATTGGAGATTGCACTTGAACATGTTTGAGAAATCTTTGATTATGTTTAAGATTACGGACTAAACATTTTTTAAGATACTGAGACTTCAGAAAGATGTTAAGGGGCTTGTTTTTTTTTGCTTTGCTCAGCAAATGTGTGATTATAATTTCAAGCACGAAATATTTGTAGTTTCTGATATTTGTGCCATAAATATTTGAAATGACAAAGCAAAGAAATGGCCAACTTGTTTTTGAAGTCCCGGAATTAAGATTATTTTTTCAAAACCCGAAATCTTGAAAGTTTTTCAAAGTCTTGGAATTTTTAAATGAACATCTATGAACTTCTCCAAACTTTCGGAAAGGTTCGAAACGTTTTCTCCGAATATTTCTGAACATCTGGTCAGCTCATTAAAATAATACAAGCTTCCCAAAATACGAACTCTGTTGGGCTGCAAAAAGCTTCTTGAACTTCTATTGAATTCCCTGCTTTTAAACATAATTCCCTACACTTCTATGAAGTTGTACGAAGTTTCTCGAATTGCTACGTAATTCGCTAGACTTCTATAAAGTTTGATGAACTACTATACAGTTTGCTGTACTTCTACGAAGTTTCCTGAGTTTCTACGATATTTCATTATCAAATCCAAGTCCATTAAACTTCAACCATGAAGAAGGTCCGCGATCCATTATGAAGTTCCCAGAAATTTGACAAACTTCTCACTTCTACGGAGTTTTTCTGATATTTTACAAACTTCTTTGAATTTCTACGAAGTAAATTGGAAGCTGTTTACTCATTGATTTTTCAGCCCCCTTTATGGAGCGCCGATAATTTTAATTTCGGAATGTACACATAATTTAGTGCTCTGTTATTAAAACTAGGGAACGGATAAACTTGTCTGCTATCAACTCGCCAAATTTATCGGATATTGGCTTTTCAGTTTAACGGTGGATTAAAACGCTAGGATGTCTTATGTCCAACATTTCGGGCTTTGGATTTCGCCTGCTGTGGAGTATATAAAATTGTACCGTCTATCGTTGAGCTCAAAAATGTTTACGATCTTAAACTAAAACGAGCCCTGATGAAGATTCCAACCCCTGGATCTAAACGTTGACGATGATAAAACTGTAAAACTTTTTCTCGAAGACTGAACGCCGGTCCGGGGGAACGACACTCATTCAGATGCATTTTATTTCAAAAAGGACTTGGTAGCGCTGCTATGGCAAAAGATCGTGATGGAAAGAATCGATCAGAATAGACAAAAGGATAAACAGGGATGGTCAGAATATCTTGCAAAAAAAAAATAATAGAAAAGGGGTGTCTGGAATCGGATTTTTTTCATTGATGTGGATGAGACTGCGGATTTGAGGAAAAATGGATGTGGGATGAGGATGGATAAAGAATTGTCGTTCCCGCTGACGCCGATACATAATTACTAATTCTTCGAAATCTTTAAACTTCCCCGAAAGTTTAGACTTTTCTGAAGTTTTCGGATCTTTTCCCTGAAGTAATTTGAACTGCCCTTAAGATCGCTAAGGGGTTTAAAAGTTAATGCAATTTTCCTGAAGATAATTGAACTGCCCTGAAGTTATTTGGTCTATCCTGAATCTCCCACAATTTGTCTGATGTTTTTGATATACTACTCTTTAAAATCTCAAAACTTCCCTGAAGTTTCCTAAATTTTCAAAAAGTTCTCGAATTTGCTCTAGCGTTTACTAATTTTTCAAGCAGTTTTCGGAACTTCTCAAGTGTTTCAACAATTGTCCTAATATTCATGAAACATCCATGAAGACTCCAGATATTTGCAGAAATTTTCAGTACATTCCTGAAAGTCTCGGAATATTCAAATATAATTCTTCGAAACTTCTTAAATGTTGCAGTAATTAATTGATGGAACTGCTCTGAAGGTCTCTGATCTTCCTCAAAATACTTGGAACCACACTGAAAATAATGAAACTGCTTAAAAATCTTCAAACTTGCCTAAAGTTCTCTGATCTTCTTTCAAGATGTCGGAACTTTGCTGAAGTTTACGGAAATTCCCTGAATTTGTTGGAACTTCTGCAAAATTTCTTTGAACCTAATTGAACTTTCTCGAAGCCATCCTGAAGTTCCTGCAACTCTCCTGAAGTTCTTGGACTGCTCTAACATAAATGTAACTGTTTTAAAAATTTCAAAGCTTTCCTGGAAATCTTTGACCTTCTTTGAAATTCAAAAATATGTCTAGATTTTTCTAAAATTTTCAGGACTTCTGTGAATTTCCCTGAAATTTCTTCTTAACGTTTCTCAAAATTTTGCTGTCCTGAATTCATCCAAACTAACGTTGCCCGAAAGTTTGGACGTCCCTGAAGTTATTGTGACAGCCTTGATCTCTGAGCTACCCTGATAATCTCTAGAACTATTTTCCCTGAGGTTCTGGGAATTTCTCTATAATTTCCACAATTTTCCTCAAGTTATCTGAAACTCTCTGAAGCTTTCTTGACTTTTCTCTAAAGTACCGTAAAACGGGGTATCTTTGATAATGCGGGTAACTTTGATAGTAGAATATAATGATTACTATCTGCACTACATCCAAATTGAAAACATTGGTGTCATTTTGTAGCTTAGGGTATTACCTTTGATATCATATCGTTATTTTTTTTTTTTTTAATCTTTATTTTAGAGATTTTTAGCCTGAGGCTAGTTCATCTCTTACATATCGTTATTTACAGGGTGTTTAATAAGTTTGAATACACTATAAAAAAATTAAAATACAAGATATTCTTTCTGAGTCAATTTTTATTGAAGCAATGTTTATTAAGAACCTTTACGACATGTAAGCTGTGAGCACCCCCCCCCCCCCCCTTTGTGCTGTATGACGAGTTTGAGACGTTCCTCAAAAGAATCGCACGCGGCACGCACCTGGTCCATCGGCATCTCGTCCCAGATCTTGGAAATGAGCTTCTTAAAGTGGTCCATAGTGCTCACTTGATGTTCGCTCTGCTTGGTCAGCATGTCCGACCATACATAAAAGTCCAGGGGAGAGAAAATCAGTCAAATTCTCCCGACACCACGCTTGGACGATATTCGCCGTGTGTGCTGGTGCACCGTCCTGTTGAAAGACGTTATGATCCTTCCCGTAGAATCTAATCTAATCTAACACCGACACAGCCAGTTCTTGAAAGCATCCTGGAAAAGGATGGATATACCTCCATATTTTTTCTTGTCTATTTGATATATGTTTCACATCGAAGATGCGTCACACATATCAAAACGGCCAGGCCTACTGTGCAGCATTTAAGGGGTAAGATGATTCAGAAAACATCGGGCCTGTTTGAATCGAAGATTTAAACACGATGCTTCAGAATCCAATAAATCGATGAAACGTGGACATCTCGTGCCGTACGTTCCGATTTTGGTAATTTAAATTATATGATTGGTTGGTTGTTGGAAGCATCAAAGCTAGAAAGGTTAAGTGATGTTCATTTTTTGTCTGTCTGTTTGTCTGACCCTTATAGACTCGGAAACTACTGGACCGATCGGCGTGAAAATTTGTATGCAGGGGTTTTTGAGGCAGGGAAAGGTTCTTATGATGGTTCGAGACCCCTCCCACCTCTGTGAGGGGGGGCTCCCATACAAATGAAACAGAAATTTCTGCATAACTCGAGAACTAATGAAGCAAATGGAACCAAATTTGACATGTGGAGATCATAGGAGGTAGCCCCTTAGATTTTTTTTTCTTTATTAAAGAGACTTTCAGCCTTGGGGTGGTTCGTCTCTGGGAATCCCAGATGGGGAATCCCCTATTTGAGGGGGGTGGTAATTCCAGAGGGAAGTTACCTTAACAACATAGTCTGGATCCCAGAGGGGATTTCCGAAAAAGGGCGTGGGGCCCCAGAAACAGAGTTTTTAGCTACGGAGTTTTTAATTTGGTGGCCCTGGAAGGGAACCTCCGAGGGTGGGGCTCCGAAAGGGGTCCCTTAGTTGCTTATGGGCTGTCTTAATACTGTCATTTTGTTGGAGGGTTGGTTGTGAGATTCTGGTTCCGAGTGTGATCTGGTATGGTGGTGATGATGATCATGGTGAGTTAGGTGATCAGACCTAACTCACCATCATCAGCCCCTTAGATAAGAGGGGGGGGGGGGGGTGCTACGTGCAATATGGCACTCTTTTTTTAATTGGCGCATAAACTCAAGCTAATATTGAATCCCGAGCAAGGCCGGGCACACTCAGCTAGTATACGATATAGAAATGCATAACGCTGGTCGTCACTACCCGAGTCTTGTCACTATTATCAAGTTATAAAAAGTAATAACCACTAAAATGTAATCCTTTGATTACTGGAAAATCCTGATTCCCTACTTTGACTATATGTTTAGTATAACTTCTGCGTGAAGTCAACGATTTACATAGTTGAAGATGCTAATTTCAAATAACAGGCTGTAGTGGTAATTTTTATACGATAGCCAGTGGTGGCGGGGGGGGCACCCCTCACCATCCCTCTCCAAAGGGGGAGTTTGGTAAAGAGAGATGAATAAACCGATTTGTACCTTCCTTAAAAGTTGTCCTAGCTCGCTATTCTATTCGTCTTCTGTTTATTTGAGATAAACAAATGTTCGGATGTATATAGTCAATTTTTGATGTGGATTGGCAAACCTTTTCGTGGCCAATAGTCAGGTTCAATGCTGCGACTCAACGAATGATGGGACGAATGATGGGACGAATGATGGGACGCCTCGTGGAGATTCTACGTGGCTTCGGAACAGCTTCTCAGCGGCAAGTAATAGGGACTGAGGAACTAGAAATTGTCTCCTGGGCCT